GCGTAGAAGTTCGTGAAACATGCGTAAATCTTTTTTCGTTACCATAGTTTGAGAAAACACCTATATTAAGTAAACATGCTTCACCAGCAAAAATGAATCTCAAAAAGGTGATAAGGAGAAGCAGACCATCAATCTCTATTAGTGCGTATATCAAAAGACTTATGTCGTAGGGAGTCGAAATCTCCGCAATCTCCGAGATCTACACGAATTAGCCAACTTTACGACCTGCGTAAATCAGTCGATTATATAAAGGCACCGATCTTCTCAAAAACAGAAAAAATTTTTTTCACTTTCTTCCCTGCATTATCGGACTCTTTACAACTTAGTGCATAAAACCAGATTTTACGAATTTTTAGATATAAAACGGTACCATGTCTTCTCACGATTCAACACCTTCCTCACCAGTTTCTACATCCTCTACTTTGACGGAAGAAAGGTCAACTCGCACGATGTCAGACGTTGTTAAGGATAGATACGGAAGAGCTTATCGATTATTTACAGAGGCGAGATCTAAAACTTAAGGAGTCGCATTTCAAGATTTTTCGGCAGAAGGAAATCGATGGACTTGCTTTTCTCGAGTTAACAGAAGAGAGGCTTGAGCGTTGTGGTTTTGCAATAGGACCATCTATAAAACTAGTAACGTTTATTGAGCAAATCAAAGAGCAGAAGTTAAGAACTTATTCGTCGTATAAAACTCTGGATGACCTGAAAGAAATGCTACGTAAAAACAAGGTTAATGGAGAGGATATAACGAATATCAAACAGTTCATACCTGGTAAGTGATCACCTTTCGATTTTTCGGTATTTTTTCAGCGTCGAAACTTCCATCATATAATAACTTATTTTTCTCTAGTGTTCGAAGAAATAGATGATAATGACAAAGCATTCAACCACTGCATGGATAATATAATTCTGAAATTAACAAATGTGGAAACGATGACCGACGCCAACGAAGCAACGCGTTGTGAATTTATTTCAGCAATCCTACATGCATCAATCGACACTTATCGATGAGTTAATTGCAGACCCTCCTACAGATTCAGAAACTTCCAGCTTAGCAACATATACTCCCGCATCACATATGGATATGACAAAACTTGAGACGCTTATTCCTCTATATCAAAATATCACCAACGCTGAATCTAATAATGATAAAACGAGCCATGAAGTATTGCGATCTTATTATGCTTTTGGAATATGGTTAACAAAGCGTTATGAATTCTACGCTATTTTTGCCGAAGCTGGAGAAGATAAGATACAACAAGTCAAATCTGCCACAGCTAATACTTTATCAAAATTACCTTGGCCAAATATTGATTACATCGTTATTAATATTTCGAAAAAGAAACAAAGCGCTTCTTGATATATACTGCGCCATATATCACGTGACATCCTGACCGGGCGGCACTTTTACTTTTTTTTTTTTAAGTGTACCTTTAGCAATGCCATATAAACGCGCTATACTTTAATAAAAATTTACCCGAATTGTGTCCAGGACCTTTTCCAATAATATTTCTGATTATAGGATTAGATCGAATCCTACATACCTTAACCATTTGGAGAAATCTTTGGCCAAGAAAAACTTTTCTCATGAAATGTATTATCCTGTAGCAATACGCATTCGTGAACTTGGAGAGGGATTAAGCAACAGTTGTAGAACAGTTGATGAAATAAGGAAAGGAACTGCCATTTAAAATGATCTTCAGGATTCTATCTCTTTTAGCCAGAAATGCACCTGAACATGTGACAGACGCGACCTCATGTGATCATATTAGGGTGATGAATTTACAATTGCACGTAAATCATTTTTATAAAAATGTCTTCGACCGAACATTACCCTGGCTACTCTGGTAAGTTCATACGACTTTAACATGGGTTCTGAATATTATTCACTGACCTTTTAGCCTTTTTCTCTTACTTTATAGCTCTTCTCTCTTATCTTAATGAGCGCGAACATGTAAACTGGTCGTACTACGAGTTTTTGACTCTTAACTGTGATGTCATTATATCTTTGTCATCGAATACAGAAAATTGGAATGGCCTAGATGGTGCATGGACATACAGATTTCTAAAAGAAGCAGAAGCGATGCTTAAGCCAAAAGACTTTGAAACTTTAAAGGTCAAGGTATTACTTTCTTTATTTAACCAAGGGAGCTCCTGTCAGTTCACGCGCTGACTCAGGAGTATCAGTTCACGTGCTGGCCCAAGTGATGGTGGTGGCACCTTTTGGTCAGTTCACGCGCTGACTCAAGAGTATTAGTTCACGCGCTAAGCCTTACCATTGCGAATCTGCATTTTTTTTTAATATTTTACTATCAACCGGCATCAGTTGTTTTATGATTAACTTTTTATTATTACCAATTTTATATTTCATTAAATAATAGGTGGATTCCGAACATTCAAAACATGGATTAAAGACCTATTGGGAAAACGTTATCCATGAACAGAAAAAAGTATGTCAGGCCTTGTTTTTGCTCTTATTAATCTTACTAAGATACTATCAATATGTAATTAGTTGAAAGTGAAACGCACCCACATTCTTGGGAGTCTTGACCTCCTAGATGAAGCCGGTAAACATAATGTCAAAGATCTCTCTGAAGGGCTTTCAGATTCTTTCCCTGTTGCATCCAAGCATGCACTTGAGAGTACGAACTTAATTTCTCCTCAAGAGAATAAGAAGGTTAGTATAGAATGTAGCCTGTATATAATACAAAAACATTATCTTACTTTTCCGACTTTGAATGTGTGTATAGATTAAAAATGGTGAAAATGAAGTGTCAGTTGAAGAAGATATCTCTCAAGAGGACGTGTTGAACTCAGTTACTGAAACCTCCAATATCTTTAGAGAAGTTGAATTCCCGGGGTATTACGATAAGCTCAAAAAAATATGGAGTACCCGTGAAGCAGGATCAAATTATTATGTAATTGATCTGAAAAATAAAGAAGTTTTAAAAGAGGTACATAATCTTTTAGATGATGAAGAATTAAAATCGTTATTTGATAGATTGGCTTTGGAAGACGAGAACAAATATATAAGTACGAAGGCACTCGAATATATGACATTATTTGATAAAATCATAGAAGATCATTTAAGGGATGATGATGATGATGATGACGTAGTTGAGAAAAAATTTATCGAAACCAAAGACGAAGTCATTTCCAAGATGGAAAAAGTGGTCTATAGTTTGGACGGATTGACAACAAGATTCAATTACCTATCCCACACTCTTCCTATTCCAGCAGAACAATATGACGGGTTTTTATACCCCGATATTCATATTATTAGAAGCATTTCGAGCCATCTAAGTACAATTATAAGGATGGATGGAATTGTCAAAAACACAACCGAAAGATCATGGAATTATTTGAAAGGCCAAACCAAATTCCCTTATTCGTACTTGAAGTCTCTGGTGAACCTAGTAATCCAGATCCTGATAAATTTGAAGATGATAGACAAAAGTTAATGAAGGAAGGCGTATTTGCGCTAAATAAATTCATTATTAGAACTGGCCTTCCAACATATGAGGTTTGTAAAACTTTGGGAGTTTTTCTTGCTCAAGGATTTGGTAAGTCATTTCAAATGTTTTAAGTATGATGCATTATTTATTTTTTTAGCATTAACATATTATTTATTACAGAAGATAAGCTTGAAATCGGACAAATAATTTACATTGGACCTGGTCTATATTTATTTTCACCCTTTACGGATCCAAATCTTATCATCCCAACTTCTCCCTTTAATTTAGAACATGCATCCAGATTAATTCGCACACTCCTTTGTTTGCGATATAATGCCATTAAAAAGATCAAAAGTTTTCGAAAATTCGAAAAAAAGTGCCAACGATACATTTTAAATCCAATATCGAAATATGCTACCGGATTTACACCAGACCGGCCTCAAACTGTGACGTTTTCCGAATTTCTGCCCAAGGAAGAGACGTCTGGCAAGGTGGATAGAAATAGACAGGATAATGTGACCAGAGGAAGGGGAAGAGGTCGTGGAAGAGGGAAAGGTCGTGGTTCAGATTCACTATAGATTTACATATATATCACCTTTGAACGATCTACGCAACGTATCGAAAATAATTTTTTTATATAAACACAAATTATTGTATGTGTGATATTAAAAAATAAATGCATTATGACAACATACATTAGTGAAACTAGCTCCGCTAAAAATACACGTATTGCTTATATCGACTATTTAATGGTAAATTTTTGGATTCGGGCACATGATAAAATGTCAAGTTACATATCTTGCACGATGTTTGTAGCATGCATAGTTCGTAGTTATATAACCACTTTGTGACTGTCTCCGGCAATATAAATTTGTCATTCGTTGTATAGATTTTTTTTATCCTTAAAAGGTCAGGTATGATGATCATTGGTTAAATAAAGGGATTTTCGTGTAGACTCGAAGAGTCATTGTTCAGTAATAAATATATCAATCACTCATTGTGGGTGTATTTCGGAATTTTATTGTGTTGTATGGACATCGATGTAATCAAGAATTTTCTTGGTGAAAGTGCGTGAATTTTTTTCACGGAGTCGTGTGATTTTTTATTTTAAATATATCCGTATCTTATACAAAACAATGGCAAACACACAATCCAAAATCGATTCATTGAAGGAATTGAATTCCAAGCTTCAGGCGGAGAATACAGAACTTAGAAACGAGAATGCTAAAGTTAAGCGTGAGAATGCAGAATTAAGACAATCTTTAGAAAGCCATGAAGCCAGAATCACGAAGCTAGAGCAAGGAGAAAAAAGTATTACTAATGCTTCACAATCTCCGGTTAATATCAT